CATCATCTAACTTGTTTCCATCGCGAGCCTTGCACGAGCTACCGTCTAAAAAATGGGATAGCCATTACTGGGGGCATTAATGAAGACACAAACTTAAGATTTCCAACTCAGTTCCGATTCTAACTCACACTTAAACACAAAAGCTACCGTTAGCTTGTTTATTTTTATGAAAGCTATGTAGTTCGTGTATTGAAATCCGCACCATGGTATACGCGTCTCAATCGCATTACAATAATGAGTAAGATCAATTCAACTACGCGGGAAGTCTGTCTGTATATTCGTAAAGACTCCGATGTCTGATTGCATCAGTCTGATTAAAATTATTCTTTGATAGCTTTTATTGACGTCGACAACGCGTTCTCGGCTCAAAGCTGTTCGGTTTTGCGATTCGTATGTGTTTTGTTCGTAAACGTTAGATCTAAAACACTGTCTGTCGAAAGCTGTGTTACGTGAACCTATCTGACTAAATGTAACAATAATTCAAACTGATTTCACGGTTTAATATCACATTTTTTATATTTTAGTGAAACTTTTATTACATTGTCTCAAACTTTTTCGTCTGTGTGTTGCATGTCGCGTGACGATCGGCCGCGGTGTAGGGATAAAGTGACAGCCTGGCCACGGGACATTCGCCGATGCGAATATTCGCGCGGTGCGAACGGCGAAGCGTCTAGCGACTAAAACAAGCGCATAGAAATGTACCTAACAAGCCACGCGCACCGGCGACCGGCGAAGCGACCGGCGAAATGTACCGAGCGAATCGCGCGATGCGGCGGGCGAGCAAAACAAATGCATGAATACGGACGGCGCGAGCCACGGAGTCGAGCGGTAGTCGCGGCGAATAGTGCAGTGATTAAATGAGTTTAGTTGTTTTCGCCGCGAAAAATTAACGCCGAAATTTTTATATTTTTTATTTATTTTTTATTTTATATTTTTAAAGTCGTCGTGGCCTAACGGACGTCCGGTGCAATCGTGTTGAGCGATGCACCGGTGTTCGAATATCAGGCGGGTACCAATTTTTGTAATGAAATACGTACTCAACAACACTCAACGTTCACGATTGATTTCCACGGTGAAGGAATAACATCGTGTGATAAAAATGAAATCTTCAAAATAATAATTTGCGTAATTACTGGTGGTANAGCTTGCACGTCGTCTTCTTAGGCCCCCTTCGCCGGTCCCCAGGCCGACATGTGAGGGAGACCCGAAACACTTAGAGGGCCAGGGCTTGGGCGAGATCCGCCTCCCTGGCCCCCGCTCGACGGCGGCGGGCCTGTGCGTCTCTCACGCGCCCCACCGCCTCCTTCTGCGAGATGGTGCACTCGCAGAAGTCGAGCATCGCCTTCCACGACTCGTCGTCACCGAGCATCGATGCCACAACACTCGGCAACGACAAGTCGTTTCCTATTTTTGCGACGAGGACAAGGCGCCACCCCTCCCATGCGGGACAGGCGACGAGCGTATGCTCTGCCGTGTCCAAGTCGCAACCACAATGGTGGCACTCTGCCGTCGGCTCGGCTCCGATCCGATGCAGGAACTCACCGAAGCAACCATGCCCAGTGAGTACCTGCGTGAGCCGGAAAGTGAGGCGTCCTCTGTCACGATTCACCCAATTCACAAGAACCGGGTGAATCGCCTCGACGGTCCTACAACCAGCCGAAGGATCGGCCAGCCGCCTGGACCATAACTCCAGCGTGCTAACACTACCCTCTATTTTTAACCGACTCCAAAAATAACAATAATTGTAGATATATAATATTATCGTAATATTAAGTTATAGAAGGATAGGCAATTTTTTTTTTACTTTTTAGTGCATATTAACTTGTTTTAGAATAGTGTTTTTCAAAGGCGGTTTTTTTGTCAAATTTTTTGTTTATTCATTATAAAATTATTTATCGACTTTTATGTATATACTGGATTTTGCCCGCGACTTCATCCATGTGGAATAGTTACTTTGGCATGACGCTAAATTTTACCCGCGACTTAATTTACGTAGAAAGTGAAAATATTTTTGAATAATAAAATGTTAAGGAGCTATTTAAGGAACCAAAATAACGCTTTTTAACCGTCTTCAAAAGAGAAGGTTATCAATTCGACCACAATTTTTTTATCTATATACCTACAACGGTTTCTCGGGAATACTTGAACCGATTCTGATAATTCTTTTTCCTTTTTTTTTTTGTTCGAAATGATGAAAATATTGTTGCGCCGGTAAGAGTAACGCCTTCTATCACCGAATAGCCGAACGAATATCGAAGGATCTAGTAGCACCTAGAACGCTCGAGAAGTACGACGTCATCTATTGTCAGATAGCGGAAACACAATACTCGAAAGATGTGGAATATTCTCGATAGTTCTAGGGATGTGGTATCGGCTATAAAAGCGTTGCAGGGATGGCAGGCAGTTAGTCAGAAATCGGAAATACTCGAAGCGAAACAGCAAACGAATCACCTGAAGCGAAGCGGAAGAAGCGAATTAAGAGTTTTAAAGTGTTTGTGAAGTGTTTTAAGTGTTCTAAGTGCTAATACAGTGTTAACTTGTGATTTGGTAGACATTATATTTATGCCGAGCCCCAGCGCGTAACAATATAAATGGTATTGTTGCTTATCAATAGACGATTACCACAATATAAAAATGTCTACGTAGCAATTTTTAGAAATCGTTTCAATTCGAACACCAGCTACGGAAGCGTGGGTTAATAAAAATAAGAACCACCCCCGAATGATCCCTCGTTATCGACGAGGTCGCCCCTAAACGTTATTATTAAATTTTCATATAATCTGAATAATAACGCATATTTTCGCTTCACAAAGATTACGGGGGTGTAAAGAGTAATGGGAGGCTGCGCCAAAGAGATCCGATCAAAGGGATATCGCGACATTGTAACGAGATGCTTTTGTGATTCAGGTCGTATTGAAAATTTCGGTTTCCACTGTAATGGAGAAGCACTTCTTGACTCACGATGGGTATTGCATTTTTTTTTTTTGAAACCTTTAAATAATGCACTTTAAAGAAGAATATCATTTGTTTCAAAACTATGTAAAAAGAACTTGAAAGAAGAAATATTATGCATTCTCTTGTCCCATGTGTCGTTGAATGCGACAAAGAGAATCCTATCGAAAAAAGCCTTGTGACCTGCGTAAGTAAGTGCATAGGTAAGTACTGAAATCCTGGCAACTTCTGCCGCGAATATATTTGGCTACACTAACCACGATATCTTCTGCCTATCCATCAAATTTCCAAAAATCACTTCCCCTAAATTACCTCCACATAAAATTCGTTAAAAACACTTCTCTTTTAAAATATTTATTTGCTACCATGAAAAGAACGCACCTAGACCTGAAGTGAAATATTTAAGATGTTACATTAGCTAAATTGCTAACAAGCGTACACAGCGAAGTGAATTCGTATCACGCGACCTATTCAAGGCTTTGACCCACGAAATTTGTGATGCCAGATGTCGAAAACATTTTATGTGAAGCTGCCTAACAATGCCGACCGCATTTCCAGTTAAAATATTTAGGTCAATGAACCGTACGTGATAATAATCTGACTAGTTGTTCGCCAAAAGGTACATTAATGTGCCTTCAACGAGTTCCTACTCCGACTTCTACTCATCTGCTCTTGATAGCAGTAAACTCCTGCTTGTATTTCGGTAATTCCTACTTTAAACTGCCAATTAGCTGAATCGAAACCCGCTAATTATAAACCGAAACAAACTTAGGGAGCTGACACATCTGATAAGATCAAGAATTTCCAAAAAAGGGAGGAGCCTAGCCGCTATTCGTAAGGAGACTGGTGGTAGGACATTTTGTGAGTCCGCGCGGGTAGGTTCAACCACCCCGCCTATTTCTGCCGTGAAGCAGTAATGCGTTTCGGTTTGAAGGGCGGGGCAGCCGTTGTAACTATACTTAAGACCTTAGAACTTACATCTCAAGGTGGGTGGCGCGTCTTAGATGTCTATGGGCTTCAATAACCACAACGCCAGGTGGGATGTGAGCTGATCAAAGCAATAAAAAAAAAGAGAGACCGCTTTTGCGACGGTCATATCACTTGACTGGATCACTGAACCGATATAGAAAAAGACTATCATGAAGATACAGACCACCAAACTATTTCATGATGATCACGGTCGTAATCAATAGTACAGGGATGAAATCAGAAAAACCACCATATTTCATAGATATATTTATATTTAGCTTCTTGTATTGCGGCATTTAATTTATACTTTACTTCATTTCATTCAATATAGCTGTATAAGCTGTGTTTATAAGCTGAAGTGTGTTCTTGAATGCTCTGAGAAATTTTTCGAGATGATTACCGTCATCTCGTTTTTACCATCGCACCGCCCGCCACCGGAGTAAAGTTCATCCATACTACCTGGAGCCACTGCAGTGTCCACAGTGCGTTTCCAGAGATCTTTTTTGCCACGTACCATCCGGCTTTGGAATGAGTTCCCCTACACGGTGTTTCCCGAGCGCTATGACATGTCCTTCTTCAAATGAGGCTTGTAGAGAGTATTATGCGGTAGGCAGTGGCTTGGCTCTGCCCCTGGCATTGCTGAAGTCCATGGGCGACGGTAACCACTCACCATCAGGTGGGCCGTGCCCACCTGATGGTGAGTGTTTATTTATTGCCCTTGCATACAAGGGCAATAAATAAACAATCATATAACAATGTAATTTAATAGTAACAGTCTATTTATAAAATCCAAAAGAAAATTGTGGTTAACTTGTGAAAACGTCTGGCCAATATAGCAAATTACAAATAACATTGGTATCACTTTTCAGTAGCTAGCAAACATCTCAGAACTAAAAGCGAATATAAAACCAGAAATATTTATGTAGGTACATTAACGAAATTGCTAGTGACTGAGTTGTTTGATTCGGATCACGAACTTTCAATGCTAAGGGAAGTTAGACGTAATATAAAAATAGTGGGAGCAATTCCTTTTATCACTTGTATCGAAGACACCGAAGGTACAAAAGACACGCTGTTCAGGCGCCTGAATATATAATCTGTTTTTCTACTTCCGCGTAAACTGAGCACTGTGTGACACGTTTAAAATATACGCTCTGAATTTTATCCCAGTTTATATTATTTTAATTCATTAATTCCCGAACATGGTCCTGGATCGAGCCGGATTTTGAAGATTTAGTACCTGTAAAATAAATTCAGAAGATAACGAGTGGATTATTATCTCATTGAAAACTGAGATTGTACGTGGTTGCAATTTAAAACGGAATTTAACAATGAATTCGTACCGAGTGTTGTGAGCGGTGTAAAAGTGTTTTAAATACTTAATTATATATAGCCCAGCACTCAGACTAGTAGTTAATTAAGGTATTGTAAGTATTGATCTTTAATTAGTACAGGTCAGTAAAACTCACATTTGTTGGATTTACATTATATACTTACATAGCTACTTTGTCATCAGGTACATCATTGTTGTANGAGTGTTGTGAGCGGTGTAAAAGTGTTTTAAATACTTAATTATATATAGCCCAGCACTCAGACTAGTAGTTAATTAAGGTATTGTAAGTATTGATCTTTAATTAGTACAGGTCAGTAAAACTCACATTTGTTGGATTTACATTATATACTTACATAGCTACTTTGTCATCAGGTACATCATTGTTGTAAATTGGGAATTAATTTAATTAAATTCAGTAAAATAATAAGTTTTATTTAGTACCTCCCTACCTTTTATATTGTTTGTGTCGGCAGGTAGTTGGTATAAGCCTCACTTTTTCGTGCTAATAGCATAAACTAAGTGCAATTAAAACAATTGAGAGAATAATAATTTGAATTTGAATATTATAATTGTTTTAAGTTCATTGAGATAAAAACATAAAATTTATTGTTTTGAATTTATATACGAAATACCTCCATATATCAACTTTGTTAATTAACGTAGTTAATAATATTTGCTATTGTATAAATTCCAGGTTGACATCACCCGATCTCCCAAGTTCCCAATATGAGCCAGGAAAAAGAATTAGTTAAAAGGCGAGGCAGCTTTAAGGGGCGTTTGACTTTGTTTATTAATTACCTGCAGTCATTGTCTAAACCTTTATCTGATTCTGACAATAGGGAATTGCAATTGCGGATAGGTAAGATGGAATCATTATAAGAACAATTTGATGAGGTTCAGATACAACTGGAATGCTTAGCCGAAAATATAAAACTACAACTTAATGAACGCGCTGAGTTTGAGACTTCTTATTATAAAGCGTTGTCTGACGCTCAGGGCATATTAAGCGAGTTTAAGGAAACACAAGTAATTGAAAATAAGCCTCACTCAAGCGCTCAGAAGCCAGTCAAGTTACCTACTATACAAATATCAAAATTTAGCGGATCTTATAGCGATTGGTTAGAGTTTCGTGACACCTTCACTAGCCTCATTCACTCAAATGACGAAATAGATGAGATTAATAAGTTTCATTATTTACGAGCTTCACTAGAGGGCTCTGCCGCTGTAGTTATCCAATCTATCAAGACCTCAGCTAAAAATTATGCTATAGCATGGAAGATATTATGCGATAGGTTTGATAAAAAAAGGTTATTGATACATAATCACGTACAAGCGTTATTTAATTTTGAGCCAATTAGACAAGCATCCTCTTTTGTTTTAAAAAATCTGATAGATAATTTAAGTAAAAATTTAAGAACTTTGGAATCTCTAGGAGAACCGGTGAAACATTGGGATACCCTATTAATATACATCATAACGTAAAAGCTAGACAAAAACACCTACTGTGCGTGGGAAGAACAAAAGCGTAATCTGGATCAAAACAGCCCTTTATCCTTTGACATGTTCATTGATTTTTTAAACAGTCAAGCTGATTTTATTGAGAACTTAGAGATACACAGCGCACCCACAGTTTCGCGTAGTAAAGGTAATCCTAAGCTTAAGGCTATGGTTGCTCAAGATTCACTTAGCTCAAACTCTGAATCACCTCCTAGGGTTTGTCCAAAGTGTAAATGTGCTCATAATCTTAATAATTGTCCGCAATTCTTAGCTCTAAGTAACGAGGCCCGAATGAAGGCGTTACCTAATTTTAAAGTTTGCTTCAATTGCTTTCGGTCGGGACATTTCGCAAATCATTGTAAGAAGCCTGGTTGTAGAATATGTAAGCGACGTCATAACACTTTAGTTCATATTTCGGAACCTAATATGTCTAAGCCTAATATAATAATAGATAATCGTGAAGCCGAGAAAGATACTTCAGGCACGACAGTGCCGGCGTCCGTCGTCGTCAGTAAGTCTTCTCTCGATCGTAGCAATGTTTTCTTATCAGCAAGCGTTGCATCAAGTCAAGGTCATTGTCCACCTCAGCCGTGTGACGTATTGTTGTCCACAGCTTTAGTTAAGTTATGTGATGGTAATAATATTGAACACGTCGTGCGTGCCATATTAGACAGTGGTAGCACATCTTGTCTTATGACTGAAAGAATGTGTCATAAATTAAATTTAAAAGTTAGCGAGATCGATAGATCGATATTGGGCATTAATAACGTGTCATTACGCGTAGGCAAAACATGTCGTGTAAATATGAAATCATTAAATGATCATTTTACAACAGACATTTTTTGTTATGTTTTGCCATCTATTACTAGTAATGTTCCAAGTCGTGAAATCAACATCTCAAAAATGAAAATACCTACGAATATATGTTTAGCTGATCCGTTATTTCACAAACCTTGCGATGTTGATTTATTAATCGGCGCTGATCTCTTTTGGGATTTAGTTGGGTCACGACAAATAAAACTAGGTGATAAAAAACCCGTCCTATGTGAGACGAAATTAGGCTGGATTATTTCAGGTCCTTTATTTACCAATCATATCTCTGTACTGTCCAATGATTTAAGATGTAATCTCCTTAAAACAAATTCAAGTTTTAAGGATGATATCAATGACATTAGAACCGATTTAACGCGTTTTTGGCAGCTAGAAGAAATTAATTTAAAGTCACCTCATTATATGCCAGACGAAAAGCTCTGTGAGGATCATTTTACTAAAAATACGTACCGTCTGGACGATGGTCGTTTCTGCGTTCGAATACCACTCAAGCAAAACCCTGATGTATTGGGTGAGTCCTACTCACGAGCGAAACAATGTTTAATTTCTTTAGAGCGCAGATTGAGCAACAAACCAGAATTGTGTCAAATGTATAAGAAGTTTATGACGGAATACCGTACACTAGGTCACATGACAGACGCGCATGAAGCAGACGAGACCAGCCCGGCGTATTTTATGCCTCACCACGGGGTGTTGCGTGCAAGCAGCACTACTACGAAACTCCGTGTAGTGTATAACGCGAGTAGCCCTTCTACGTCTGGCATTTCTTTCAACGATATTCAGCTGGTTGGTCCTACGGTTCAGGACGATCTGCTTTCCATACTTCTCCGGTTTAGACAGCACAAATATATTTTGTCAGCGGACATCGAAAAGATGTATAGGCAGATTGTCGTCCATGAGTCTGATAGGCAGCTGCAACAGATTCTCTGGCGTGATAATTCATCTGATCCTATTAAAACTTTTCAATTGAACACAGTCACTTACGGTACTGCTAGTGCACCCTTTCTTGCAACTAGATGTCTTAAGCAGTTAGCCATTGATTGCACTGATAAGGATATTTCAGAAATAATAGCACGCGATTTTTACGTCGACGACCTTCTTACCGGCGCTGATGAAATCAGTAGGCTGTTCAAAATCCGGAAAGAGGTATCTGACATACTGGCATCGGCTGGGATGCCATTGCGAAAATGGATGTCAAATGAACGGACACTAGTACCTGATACCACTGATACATCCCTAGACTTAAATATTGGGTCTATTGAGCCTAATAAGTTATTGGGTCTCGGATGGCACGCGAGCTCTGACAAACTGTCATTTCCGTTAGATTCATCACTTCCTAAAGGTAATACTAAACGTGACATACTTTCCGCAATTTCACGCATTTATGACCCTTTAGGTTTATTAGCACCTTGTGTTATTGTAATGAAGATGCTATTGCAAAAATTATGGCTTCAGAAGCTGACATGGGATGAACCTCTGTCATCTGATATTCATCAGCAATGGAACGGCATCGTTCAAAACTTACACCTCTTGAATGATGTACGTGTGCCTAGACTGGTTATCTGCGATTCCTTTAAAACGCTTGACCTACACGTTTTTGCAGATGCATCTGAGCGTGCATATGGTGCATGTGTGTTTATTCGTAGTACCAACGATAAAGAAGAAATAATGGTTCGCCTATTGATAGCTAAGAGTCGAGTGGCTCCAATTAAACCAACTACAATCCCAAGGTTGGAGCTCTGTGGTGCCTTGATTGGAGCACGGCTTTATAATAAGGTGAAAAATTCTCTTCGGGCTAAGATAGACCATGTCTATTTTTGGACCGACTCCACCATAGTGTTGGGATGGATACAAATGTTGCCTCACAAGCTTCAGCCATTTGTTCGTAACAGAGTAGCTGAAATATTGGAAATGGCAGGTAACTGTACCTGGAGACACGTCCCAACGAATCAGAATCCTGCAGATCTTATATCTCGAGGCGTGGATATAAATTCCTTGCAAATGCTGCATCTATGGTGGAACGGCCCTGATTTTTTAAGTAAAGAATCATGCGATTGGCCTTCTAAACCCAAGTCCGTTGAAGTTTTGCCAGAGCTTCGTCTTGACATCTCTCTCAATACTGTTGTCAATAATATCAGTACTAGTGATAAATTTATTGACTTTAGTCGTTTCTCTAATTACGAACGACTTGTGCGTTCTGTAGCCTATGCGTTACGCTTCATTCGCCTGTGTAAAGAGCGCACCAAGGCACCCGCCTTTTTAGAAGAGTACGAGCTGCAGAATGCGTTAAATGCTATTGTTAGAAAATGTCAATCTGATTCATTTCCTGAATATAAGCTATTACTTCAAGGTGAAAAATTACCTAAAGGGAGTCCTCTATTAAAATTTAATGCTTATTTAGATAACGACAATGTAATGCGCGTAGGAGGACGTCTCGATAATTCGAAATTTTGTTATGATAAAAAACACCCTATAATATTACAGTCCACTCATATTTTCACAAAACTAATATTTACTTTTGAGCATAAAAAGCTGATGCACGCAGGTCCACAGTTGTTATTAGCATCCATAAGGGAAACATATTGGCCTATAGGCGGTCGGAACTTGGCAAAGGCCACATATCACAATTGCGTTCTGTGCAGTCGTATAAAAGCAAAAATCGTTACTCCATTAATGGGAAACTTACCGCAAGGACGGTTGTCTGCAGGCGGCTATGCATTCGAAACTGTGGGTGTAGATTACGCTGGTCCTATCATGTGTGCTAGTCGTCGAGGACGTGGATGTAGATTAGTGAAGGTGTACTTAGCTGTTTTCATATGTTTTACCACTAAAGCCATGCACTTGGAGCTAGTAAGTGATTTATCTAGTAACTGTTTCTTACTAGCATTGCGTCGTTTTATTGCACGCCGAGGCAAGCCGCTGAATATTTATTCAGACAACGGCACCTCATTTGTTGGTGCGCATAATGATATCTCAAAGTTTTTAAAGAACAATTGCAATTCCTTAGGTGAGAGTTTAGCAAATGAAGGCATTGACTTTCATTTTATACCCGCGTATACCCCTCATTTTGGCAGGCTATGGGAGGCGGGTGTTCGCTCAACCAAATATCACTTGCAACGAGTGCTGGGGAATTGTAATCTGACGTTCGAGGAACTTTACACCACGCTCACGCAGATCGAAGCGATATTGAACTCTAGGCCTCTAACTCCACTGTCTTCAGATCCAGCTGATTTGAATCCACTGACTCCAGGACATTTTTTGATTGGACGTCCTCTCACGTCGTTACCTGAACGTAACTATCAAGATTGTTCCAGTGGAAATTTAAGTCGTTATGAACGAATTGAACAGCTTCGACAACATTTTTGGGTTCGTTGGAGCAAGGAATACATCGCAGAGTTACAACAGCGAACTAAATGGCGTTCATGCAAAGATAGTCTAAAAATGAATTCACTGGTAGTTGTAAAGGAAGATCACTTGCCACCATTAAAATGGAAGCTTGGAAGGATTGTGGCTACATTCCCTGGAACTGATGGCATCGTTCGTGTGGCTGACATCAGAACGTCGACCGGAGTGATAAGGAGAGCTTTTAACAGAATATGTCCGCTGCCTGAGTCATCCAGCTCTGGTTGAAAGCACAGCTTTCAACGCTCGGNATGGTTTCATCCAGCGAACAATCTTGCACAAGGGAAGGCCGGCAGGAAGTATTGTCTTTATTTATGATCTTACGTCGAGTTACATTCAGGCAGTATGGGCAACGCAGTGAAGCGAGTTGCGCGGGATTCAGATTCTTGGCAGATTCCACAGTAATATTCAAGCATTTATAGCAATACTCGGAAGAACAATTGTTGCATTTCAAACAATTAGACTCTATTAGTACCATAAGACATCCGTGGCACTGCATAATCAATGTTTTATCCTAATCTATACAAAGTCGGTAGTAGTAAAAAAAAAACAGGTATGATGCATAAGCGAGTATTCATATGAATGCACTACAAAGCAGGTACAGATTGAAAAGTTCAAAGCGCAAGCGCATCGCTCGCTTGGCGCAACAGGTAAGACCGGAGGTCGCCCACCGAGGGACGATGGTTCGAATCCGTCCTCAAGCCCACTTGTTTTTCAAACAATAAATATTTCGTTTAAGCAAAGCAATTTATCACTCACAAACTGACCGCACTTCTCACACTTCAAGCAAAATCGAAAGAGACGTCCGACACAATCCAAAATGGACGCCGCTCCAAATGTAGATTAACCAAAGATGAAACGAGAGGCACCGATCTTCGCAAATTAGTCCAATTAAATTTGAGTCAAATACACAAAGATTTCAAACTAAAAAATAATAATTATAATCGGTACTATACGTCTGTTCAGTTCGACGTCTCGAGGAGAAAAAAAAAAAGGATTGCCGGCTTTGATAATAGTCGACTCATTTTACACTAACTCTTATGCAAACCGTGAATGAAGTGTACCACAATAAGTTCGCACGTTACCGAATGACCGTGGGTTGTTGCGAAACCTCCAGTTTTATTTTCTTTATACCTCGAACAAAACTAAAAATTAACATTTTTATAATAAGGAACTTTTATAATAAGGAACTTTTGTACTGGTGGTAGGATCACAGGCGCGGGTAGGTACCACCACCCCGCCTATTTCTGCCGTGAAGCAGTACTGCGTTTCGGTTTGAAGGGTGGGGCAGCCGTTGTAACTATACTTGAGACCTTAGAACTTAAATCTCAAGGTGGGTGTTTACGTTGTAGATGTCTATGGGATTCAGTAACCACTTAGCATCAGGTGGGCACTGCTCTTGCTAGGGCTAGTGTTAGCAATTCTCTCAGGTTGAGCCCGTGAGCTCACCTACCCGTTTGTGCGTACCTGAAATAGCCCCTTAGACTACCAACGATTAGGGAGGAATAAGTAATAGCTTAAAAGCATTAAAAATATACACTTTTATAGGAAAACCAACTACAAAATAGAAAATAAATTTTAATAAATTTGAATTAGAAATTGTGTAACAAAAAATGATTTTGTTGTAAAAAAGCGTGGGGCGCTTTTGTTATAGGATATTATCAAAATAATCCTTCTACTCATATCTGTTCATAAAATATTTATAACTACTAATACCATGCACCCCACGCTTTTTTTACAATAAAATCATTTTGTTCTTACACTATTTTTAATTTAAATTTATTAAAATTTATTTTCTATTTTTTAGTTGGATTTTCTATGAAAGCGTATTTTATTAGTTTTTTTTAAACTATTATTTATTTTTCATTTTTTAGTTGAAAATCAATCTTTTCAATATTTTTTTTAATATCGAATTGTTATCTTAATAAGTATGCAAAATTTCAAGTTAATCCGATGTTTTGAAGGGGGTCAAAATCATGTTCAAAGATTCCGTTACATACATACGTCTGAAGCCAATAAAAGCGTATTAAAAAAGAACAATCCGTTCGAAGCTTTGTGTGAGCTTTAAATCAGAACGGGTCGACTTTATCGCACTTCCAATAAATCCACATTTTCGCTTACAGAATTGAGGGGCAATTAAAATAGTAAAAGTCGACGGTGTATCAAAAGAGCACATTGAATAGAACTCATTTTGGAGGCAGCGCTGGAGGCCATTCACGAATATGTGTGTTCTGTTCGCGTGAGTGTAAAGCCTCTTTCATATTATTGAGATCTCCAATGACGTAAACAATTTTTTGAATTTTTTTTTTTTTTATTGCTTATATGGGTGGACGAGCTCACAGCCCGCCTGGTCTTAAGTGGTTACTAGAGCCCATAGACATCCACAACGTAAATGCGCCACCCACCTTGAGATATGAGTTCTAAGGTCTCAAGTAAGTTACAACGGCTGCCCCACCCTTCAAACCGAAACGCATTATTGCTTCACGGCAGAAATAGGCAGGGTAGTGGTACCCACCGGCGCGGACTCACCCACAAGAGGTCCTACCACCAGTAAATATTGATATATATATGAATTGAGGTGCGAGGACTTTTTGGCGGGAACGCGAGGAGTGAAGTTGTGTGATTTGTTTTATTTTGTCTATTTAGTGTTTGTTCAGGTTTAAATGTGTAATAACGGTGGTTTATTTACTGTTTAATATCTCTCAAAGTGCACAAATGTGGGAAAATGAAACAAAGCCGCTGGACGTAACTTCTCAGGATCCTCCAAAAATCTCAGTAAATAAACACCATTTTACTGAGATTATAATATTTCATCCCATATCATCTCATCTCATTTCATTTAAGTTCATCCCAGTTGATTAACGTCTTAAATCAATAATCTTCATTTCATTTCATATTATCATTTTTCATAAAAATAAGAATGTAAATTAAAATAAGACATGACTTAAAGGTCTTAGTTACCAGGTCATAAAATCCCTTAAAAAAATGTATTGAGATGCTCATTTCCCGAAATGTCATTAGAAACGTCGTGTGGCTCGACTACCGAAAAGCGTTGACGCCAAAAATAAATCGAAATTTACTTGAGATGTGAGGAGAAAGTTAATTTTGAGAGCTATAATAATTTATTTTGTTCTTTTATAATCTTTGGTACATTTGGTATATATGGCATTTGGTACTTACACTGTTATTTTGATAAGAGAATATTTTCTATAGATTGCCCTTCGGATTGTTTTTATTTTTATTGCCTTTGTAGGTAGACGAGCGCACAACCCGCCAGATGGTGAGTGGTTACCATCGCCTATGGACGTCAGCAATGCAAGGGGCGGAGCCAAGCCGCTGCCTACCGTTAAATTTGTTGGTGTGCATGATTTTTTTGAAACTATTGTTGAGGTGTTTCACTTGTAGCCTTTATTCTGTTTAGCTACTCATACCTACAGTTATAATCATCTTAAAAAGCTACCGAACCTCACAATAAATTCCTCGTCATTCATTATACTCACGACTTTTACACTGGTTTCCTCAAATTACTGAGGCTGCTATTAACGAAGATTAGAAACTCTACAACACCATTCTCCCTGAGGACAATGTGTAGAACTCAGTACATAGTTTGAACGTTTTACCTCTAGGGTACTATTTGTGGATTAACTTAACTTAAACTGCGGCAATCTCATGCGGCCCTATGAAATAAACTTCGGCTAATAAAGTTGATAGACGTCGTGGCCTAAATGATAAGAGGCCCGGCCCGGTGCATTAGTATCTGGCGATACGACTGTGCCGGTGTTCGAATCCCGCAGGCAAGTACGAATTTTTCTGATGAATTACGTACTTAACAAATGTATGCGAATGACTTCCGCGGTGAAGGAATAACGTCGTGTAATAAAAATCAATCCCGCAAAATTATAATTTGCGTAATTACTAGCGGTAAGGGCGTCTTCTGAGCTCGCACGAGTAGGTTCTACTACCCTGCCTATTTCTGCCGTGAAACAGTAATGCATTTCAGTCTGAAGGATGTGGCAGCTGTTTTAGTGTAAAAGTTGAGACCTTAGAAATCGTGTCTCTAGGTGGGTGGCGGCATTTACGTTGTAGACGTCTGTGGGCTCCGTAACCGCTTAACACCAGGTAGGCCGTGAGCTCGTCTATCCTGCACCAGACAAGAGGATAATGTCGAAGTCTCAACCGTATAGTGTAACAGCTTTCCTGTCCCGCAAACTTCACAGCAGAAACAGGCAGGATCTGTACCTACCCATGCAGGCTCATTCCACACACATTCAGCAGTAGATCGGATACAACAATCGCAGTATACTCTTTAATAATTAAGGAAAATGATGGCCCATTTTCCGGCGAATTGCTTAGTCGCCTCTTGCTTTCCTTTCTTTTTCCTACCTATGCTGATAACTTTGAAATACTATTTCAGCTTCACCCTAACATGTAGGTGAGCTCACGGGGCTCAAGCCCGAAGCGTTGCTAACACTGGCCCTGGCAAGAGCAATGCTTCGCAGAATCTACCACCGGATCGGAAACGCGACCCACTGAGAAGGTCCGGCGAGAAACTCAGTAGTACTGGCGTACTTTCCAATGTTATAGCTTAGTACCGTTCTAAACCACAACAGAGCCGAGACTGCACAGAACATTACAACTTAATTGCAGCCAAAATATTATGCAGCCTCATGCATTATCGATATCAGCAAACGGCATTAACCTTTAAAAAAAAACCGGATGCGATACTATTAAAAACTGTAACTGTAATTGTCTAAAAAGTAAACAAACTTTTTTCTCCATAAAATTTATAATAAAATTACTAGAAGCGCCATCTATGTTTCAGGCGCGATAACGATATTTAGATATTTGTGCCATCTATGAGCAAAAGAATGCAACTAAACGTTTCTAAATTCCAATGAAGTCGTATTATTATTATTAAAATGTGAATAGATGGCAGCAAATACTAATTCTTTTTTTACGTTTTTATTTTTCTACTTATTCTTTTGCTTGCTGACTTATGACGATTTTGATTCTTAGATTTACTTAATTCACTTTATAGAGTTTCCGACCGGACTTCAAATGTATAATAATTTTATCGACTAGATGAAGATGTCTGTCACATTCATGGATTTGATTCATATTGTTTTGATGGAAAAAAACACGGGTTAAGAAGATAATAAATTTATTTTGATGAAAAAGTAATTACATAAGTCGTATTAAACATATTTTTCAATCCAAAATGCTTACAAAGATAATTTATCACCCTAAAATACCGCCTAAATCCAAGTCTTTAATAATATCTTGAGCGATTTCAAAAAAGATATCAGTCACTATTTTGTTAATCTCCGTCTGAAAAATAAAGAGTTTGAATAGTCATCAGAATCACTGTAATATGAATAAAGCCTGGGATTCTTGGTTTGAATGTGTGTTATTGAGAAATTAAAATGAATAAAACATATTACAAATATCGTATGTTACAAAATTTACAAACAAATATTCTTTTTCTGTTACAATTTTTTTAAATAAACAATCCCTGTCGATTTAATTAAAATTTTTAACTGTTCTTTAGAGACCTGTACACTTTTTGCGAAAAATTTACGTATTTTATTTACGTATGTTACATATTCAAACAAAAATTTAGTCTTCCATTTAGGATGTTAAACTCTAAATCGCATAAAAAAATGTTACGTAAAATCGCTTAAAAATATCTTACGCCAAAGCGGGCCTTATAAATATCGCCATAGGACAGCTACAGTTTCAAATTTCAATCTCAAAAAAACCGGATATCCGATCTTGTAACTCTGTTGACTAGATTTTTTTTAATTGTTTTTTTATTGCTTAGATGAGTGGACGAGCTCACAGCCCACCTGTTGTTAAGTGGTTACTGGAGCCCATAGACATCTACAACGTTAATACGCAACCCTCCTTGAGATAGGTTCTAAGGTCTCAGTATAGTTATATAGACGGTAACCACTCACCATCAGGTGGGCCGTATGCCCGTCTGCCTACAAAGGCAATAAAAAAAAAATTAAAAAAAATTACAACGACTGTCCCATCCTTCAAACCACCCAGTAAAGATTTACAACAGTTCACATTAATAACGGCAATATAATCGGAGAACTAGTCTGTCGACTTACCTCAAACACCTCCAACAGCTCCGGCACCAAGTTCCCAAGGAATCTACTGACAAACTCACTTAATACGGGATCATTGAAGATACCGGTTATTTCAGTCTGAAATGATTTTAACACATATCTATATACATAAAAGAAAGTCGTGTTAGTTACACTATTTATAACTCAAGAACGGCTGAACTGATTTGGCTGAAAATTGTTGAGGAGGTAGCTTAGAACCAGGAGAAGGACATAGGATACTTTTTATCACGTTCCCGTGGGACGCGACATAAAACGTGGTATAACAAAACGCAACTGATATGAAGTAACAAAACGCAACTGATATGGAATAACAAAACGCAACTGATATGGAATAACAAAACGCAACTGATATGGAATAACAAAACGCAACTGATATGGAATAACGAAACGCAACTGACAGCTAAACGTAATATATTCTATGGTTAATTATCATAGAATTTTGAAGTTGACGTGTTTAAAAAAAACAGTGTGGCGGAGCAAAGTTCGCCAGGTCCGCTAGTTACAAATACATAATGTTAAATTAAGGTATTAATAGGAAAAGACAAAATAATCAAGTAGCATTTCTATCACTATTTATCAACTGATATTAGGTTTTTTTGTTTGCCGGGCATTCACGATTTTAGCATAGTTAAAGAATGCACTTAGCCCACTGAGTTTCTCGCCGGATCTTCTCAGTGGGTCGCGTTTCCGATCCGGTGGTAGTTTCTGCGAAGCACTGCTCTTGCTAGGGTTAGTGTTAGCAACGTCATCAGGTTTGAGCCCCGTGAGCTCACCTACTAACCCGGTGACACTGATATGGTCTCTCTAAACCATCAGCTTAGGTAGGAAAAAAAATACACTTAAGAGTCATTAGTTAGTGTTAACATTTATTTTAAAATTAAGTTTTTCATTATTTTTTTTCATTTCTTTAGCAAAACAAAAGAAAACATTGTATATAATATACCTATACAGAATTTTTTTCTTAACAATGGCGGTGATTGTATTCGAATATCGATCAAAATGATGATGACAAAATTTCACGGGAAATAGTTAATTGTATATAAGTATGTTTGCGGATGTACCATCATACACGGGATAGCATGTGCTCACGCGAAACAAAAATTATATCTTTTTTTCCCTACCTATTTGCTGGTAGCTTAGGGGTCTATTTCAGCTACATTTGGACATGTAGATGAGCTCACGGGCTCAACCTGAGAGAATTCGCTAACACTAACTCGTCCTTCTTCAAAAGAGGCTTGTGGAGAGTATTAAGCGGTAGGCAGCGGCTTGGCTCTGCCCCTGGCATTGCTGAAGTCCATGGGCGACGGTAACCACTCACCATCAGGTGGGCCATATGCTCGTCTGCCCACAAGGGCAATAAAAAAAAGAAGAAAGAAACACTAGCCTCCAACATGAGCAGTGCTTCGCAGAATCTAATTCCGGATCGGAATCGCGAGCCATTGAGAAGATCCGTTGGGAATCTCAGTGGGACAAAAATTACATCAATTTTGCTGCGAAGCTATAACACGTCCCGATTTTTGTGGCACATCCATATTACACTACTTAGTTAAGAGATCACTTTGTGACATCTTTGTATTCCGGTGATCACTCAATCCTATGTGGACCGTGACTCGTATGCTCCTGCCCAAAAATGCACTTTGGTTATGAGCTCATCTAATTACGATGTATAATACTCCGGATTACCTGAAAACCTTCAAGGCTAATAGCAACGTCCGCTTCTTGGAGACTCAGGGCCATTCCTTCACGGATATTCAAGTGGATCAACAGAGTCGCCTTGATACGAGGACGGATCACGCGGATTCTGAAATAGCATTTTTTTTTATTGCTTAAATGTGTGGACGAGCTCACAGACCACCTGATGTTAAGTGGTTACTGGAGCTCATAGACATCTACGACGTAAATGCGCCACCCACCTTGAGATATAAGTTCTAAGGTCTCAAGTATAGTTACAACAGCTATCCTACCCTTCAAACCGAAACGCATTACTGCTTCACGACAGAAATAGGCGGGGTGGTGGTGCCTACCCGTGCGGACTCACAAGAGGTCCCACCACCGGTAAAAACAATAACTGGAACAAAATCACATTATTCATGATTGTATTTCCAGTTACCATTTAGCATTCCGGCTACCGGTTACCATATGACATGTCCATCTCCAAGCTAGGTTTGGAAAGACATAAATAGGATGCAGTAGTATAGTTAAGACCCTAGACAGACCCTAGACAGACCCTAGACAGACCCTAGAAAGCTCATGTTCGCATAGATTATTTGTGTGTTTCAGTAATTTCTAGTTGTTTCGTTTTGTTATTCATCTTCAGTTTGCGTCTTTACCGTATGCTAAAATAGCTCATTGTATCAGAAATTCTACGTGTTATCTCTTCAGGGTTCAACGGGTGGGCCGGAAGATGTTGGGCGTACCGATATGCACAAATATATTTAAAAAATTTATCTTAAATTATATTTAAATCATAAAAAAATTCATATGAATTTATACAATTTTTTCCACTTTTCATTCTATTGTTTCGTTTGCAAAATATAATTATTTTTACACCCTAAATCTATGGCAACTGCGCCTGTGGCACTGTCCAACGAATATCTACAGAAATGGTCAATTATCGAAGTGGGATATCTTTTGAACAATGATATCATTCTACACATATGGAATCTATTAAACTAAAGACCCAATGGCTTTGAAGATACCAACTAAAACGGAAAAACAAGCTCTATAATATAAAATATCTTTTCAATATATTAGTGTAGTAAAAATAAAACTGTTACTTAATATATTGTAAATAGGGACATTTAAATTGAACACAAAAAACATGTTTTGTTTATTAGCTTGATCGTTAAGTGAAAATGTTTTTTTTTTTTTTTTTTTTTTTTTTTCAATTATTTCACTCTTTTAAATTGTTTAAGATTGTAATACATTTATAAATAATATATATTTCACTCCCACAACCGAGTAATTCCCATAGTGAACACCCCATACGTTGAAATTCGTCAAAAATTTTATTGATTTACTAGCCGTACTCGCCCGCTTAGCTGGGCATTTAAATTATTATTTAACACTAGAGGTCCCGCAGTAGTCGAAGAGACAGCGACGGAGCCGCCGAGCTGTGTACTCTGCCGCAAGCAGGGACACACGGCCAACTACCGTGGATGCCCCAAGGCTCCACGGAAGCGCCCGGCAAACGCGCCCCCTAAAACCGCTGGCCCAAAGACTTCGGCGCCCCGCGCGCCGAAACCGGCTTTCGTACCGGCTCCGGTGCCCACCGTCTCCGCGTGGGCGAAACCGTTGCCGTTCACGAAGGCAGGAACGACACCGGCACCCCAACCGCGGTACGCGCCGCAACCTCTACTCGCNAGTTTCCGATAAGTCGTAAAGTGTAGTCAGGAGTGATCGAGCGGAACAAGTGTTCTCGTGGATGTTTTTGATTGTAGGTTAACCATCACACGAGGACATGTACAATCAGGAAGACCATGTCGCAATCAACACGTGATTGCTGCAGCCAATACGAGATATGGGACGCAAGCACAGTCTGTCGGCGCTCGATGGGTCAACTATTCACCGGCTGAGCGGAGCGACGTGCCGGTAGCTGCGTAACATCGGGCAATTTTGGTAAATAAGAACAATCTGTGTGGGTGGCAATGTCACTAGCTGCGCCGGCAGCCAGGCCAGGAGCGTTCTATACGATTTTGTTGAAACTAGTGATGTAGAAGATGTAGAATCAAATGACCACGATACAACTGACTGATTAAAGAGCGTCACACAGGGACGTGTGACATGTCAGAATGGCCGTGTCGTGGATAACGACTTTTAGTAATATTAAGACGGTGGTTTTGATTATTATTTTAAATGATGAGATGTTGTTTTGATAAATATCACAAAATGTAGGGTAGACTACGTAACGCCATAGTATAAAATGGCGGTACGTAGACAGAGTCGTGGCATTCCGTGTCAGACAGTCATTCCGTCCGTCTCAGTCAGTCGGTCTGTCNTTCCGTGTCAGACAGTCATTCCGTCCGTCTCAGTCAGTCGGTCTGTCGGTATGTGCAACGAAACTGTCGGTTTATCCTGTCATTGTGAAAGTTGTGTGTGTTGAGTTTCAATAATTGTTATTCAAAAAGTTTTATTAACTAAACTGAGTTCAATCGAATACGAGTGATGACGGAACCTACCGCTCAGCCATCCCTGAAGTGTGCCGACACATATATAATATATATTAGACGCCTTCCGCTCTCACACTAGGAGTAGGGACCCCCGTATTAGTCGAACTCGAGAAAGAGTTCGACGTGCAACCTAACCTAAGCATCAGCCCGTTGAGATTCTCGCCGGATCATCTCGTTACGTAAGTAAATAAGATATCATTATTTCCAGACAAGTTTTTTTTATCGTCTAAGCAGTTGAGAGCGTTCACAGCCCACTTGATGCTAAGCGGTTACTGGACCCATAATCGTAAGCAAGCATAACAAATAGCACTTATTCATTTTTTTGCAGTTAGGCGTACCTACATAATAGGTATAAATTTAGCGTGAAGGATACCTTAAAAAAATGTTTTTCAATTGAACTCCAGCGAGATATTTTGAATAGTATAAAAATTTACCGTGAAATTGTAATCCTCGTGGTAAGGTTTTCGTTTCATGAGGAATGTTTGGAATTATCCGTAATTTGGGTACAGGTGTAGCTGACGTATTTTATACCTTTTGACATCAACAATGGCAATAATTATATAAATAGTGTCGAGGTGATAAGGTTGTGTTTTGAATGGCTTGATATGTGAAATATATGTACAGGGTGGCCCATAAGTCCTTTGATATGAAAAAAAAATTATTAAAATAAAACTAATTACATTATGAATTAAATTTTTATTTACATAAAAAGCTTAAAAAACGGGAATTATTTTTTGAAAATAACATCTCCTAAATGTAATCCGTTGCGATCACGGCACTCTTGCAAACGACGTCTAAAATTGTCGATGACTGCGCGGCACGTCACTGCTGAAATGCTTGTCATTTCTCTGCGGATGTTTTCTTTTAGGGCCTCAATTGACCGCGGGTTTGTGTCGTATACTTTAGCCTTAAGGTAGCCCCACAAAAAAAAATCCATCGGGGTCAGATCTGGACTACGTGGAGGCCAGGAAATGTCTCCTCTCTTAGAGATAACTTTGCCAGGAAAAAGTTGACGGATAACGGGCATAGCAGTGTTAGAGGTGTGAGAAGTGGCCCCATCCTGTTGAAACCACGTCCTGGCATTAAAGCCTGAAAAGTTTTGCAATTCTGGTATGAAAAACTCTTCGATCATAGCCACATATCGCTCCGACGTAACAGTAACTGCGCGCCCTCTGCCATCCTCAAAGAAGTAAGGCCCTAGGATACCATGGGCTGACATAGCGGCCCAAACAGTCACTTTCGGACTATGTAAGGGCTTCTGATGCTTAAGTTTTGGATTGATGGGGCTCCAATAGCGGCAATTTTGTTTACTAACATGCCCGTTAAGATGGAAATGAGCCTCGTCAGAGAACATTATGTTATTGAAGGAAGTAAACCGATTCAACATTTCATTCGCATAATTTTGTCTTTGAATACCGTCAGTTTCCTTTAATTCTTGAACCAACTGAATTTTGTAAGGGTGCATATGTAAATCTTTCTTCAAAATCCGTTGTAACGATGTCCTGGATACGTTTAATGCTCTGGCGCGCTTACGAGTTGACTGTGTCGGATTTTCGCGAATAGACTGTGTCACTGTGTCTATGTTTTGTTCCGTACGTGACGTCCTTGGGCGACCCAACCGCGGTTTATCTAACGTCGAACCGGTCTCCTCGAACTTAGCAACCCAGTTCTTAATCGTTTGAAGAGTTGGAGTGTCGTCAAAGTTGTGTAAACCTTTGTGTTCTCGAAATTTACGCCGCGCAACGGTTGCCGAATTGTCGTTTTTATAAAACTCGCGCACACAAAACGCACGGTCCGCTCCGGTAAAACGCTCCATCGCGACTAAATTCCCAGAAACCGAAGTTACTCCCCCCGCTTCCCCTGCACCGCTCACGCGCGCCCTGTTCGTTTTATTCAAATTTTACTTTTCAAAGGACTTATGGGCCACCCTGTATTATGTTTCACAAGTGGTTTGTGTAGCACTTTCTATGGGACTGCCAAACATATCTTACTAATCTATCTATCTATATATATGAATTGCTGTTCGTTAGTCTCGCTAAAACTCGAGAACGGCTGGACCGATTTGGCTAATTTTGGTCTTTAATTATTTGTGGTAGTCTAGAGAAGGTTTAAAAGGTAAATAAATATGAAAATGCTCCGAATTAAATAAAAATAAAAATTTTATTTTCCCTTTGATGTGTCCCCCGTCGGACGGATTCCTTTTGTTTGTTTTAAGTTTATTTTATACAAAAGTCTAGGTCTTTTATTTTTCGATTGAGGCACTACGAAGTCTGCCGGGTCAGCTAGTCTTTATATATAACATATATTTCTACTGTGCGTGTGTTTGTCACTGAACTCCTCCTAAGCGGCTGGGCCGATTTGAATGACATTTTTGTATGCGTTTGGGTGGCACCCTGGATGGTTTAGATTCACAAATCAGCCCGGTAGATGGCGCTGCAGAAGGTATCTAGGTTATTTGACTTTCCTAGAAATAATTTATATGACAACGCTTGCCGGGCCATCTAGTACGTATAATAAATATAAAAGTTTGTAACAATGTATGGATGTATCTTTGTCACTCTTTCACGCAAAAACAATTGGATCAATTTTGATGAAACCTTATAATAATATAGCTTACACATCAGAATAACACATTGGCTTTAATTTATAAAGATATAGTCTGGATTACCTAAAATATAGCGATAAGTGTCAAGT